TACTGGATTTTGATGCTGGTGATGCTCGGCGGCAGCCTCCTGTTGATACCACATGGCAGCAGGTCTCAGATACTTTATCTGATTATAAAATTAGTTATACTTCATTATTTTCTTATCTTTCATTTTTTTTCTTGGTTTGACTCAGTTGATGGATATTTCTAATTCCTTTTTGTTTCTTGAAATTAATATTGATAATAAGCTAAGCTTGCACTTCTTCTTTTTTCTTTTTCGGACAGATATATTTTTGCCTGAGGTCTGGTTATTATGATGAAGCAAGAAATGTTGCCCTATCTTCGCGTGCTTCACATCAATTTTCTCCTTTGGTACATACTATGGTCACTACTTGTTTTGTACTAATTTATGTTATAATCTTAATGATTTACTGTTTCTGACAGCTCACAGAGTGGATTAATACTGGAGGAATGGTACCAGAAGAGATTGCAACTGCTGCATCAGAGGAATGTGAAAGAATGTTGAGAACTGGTGATCGGGTTGGTCGAGCTGCATATGACAAGAAAAAGTTACTACTCTATGCCATCATATCAGGTTCTAGAAGACATATTGATCGTCTTCTTAGAGATCAACCAACTCTCTTTGGTACAATAGAGGATTTCTTGTGGTTCAAATTGTCAGCTGTGCGGGACTGCCCTAGTGGACCTTCGTCCATTGTTCTAAGTGATGGTCTGGTTCCATACAGTTTGGATGATTTGCAAAATTACCTGAATAAATTTGAGCCATCATACTATACAAAAAGTGGCAAAGATCCTCTGGTATATCCCTATATCTTGCTTTTAAGCATTCAATTGCTCCCAGCTGTATTATACTTGTCTAAGGAAAAAGGAGATGAAGGATATAACATTGATGCTGCCCACCTATCAATTGTGCTAGCTGATCATGGGGTCCTTTCTGAAGGTGTTGGTGCTGGGCGAAAGTTGGGGGTCATGGATGCTTATGCAGAAGTGTCCACCATTATCAGGCAATATGGATCTATGTATTTGCGTCTTGGTGATCTCCAAATGGCACTTGAATATTTTGCACAAGCTGCTGCTGCAGTGGGTGGCGGGCAGTTGTCGTGGACTGGTAGAGGTAATGTTGATCAGCAAAGGCAGAAAAATTTGATGCTGAAGCAGCTTCTAACTGAACTATTGTTAAGGGATGGAGGCATATATCTTTTACTTGGTGCAAGAGGTGCTGGAGAAGAAGGTGAACTGGGACGTTTTGTGACTGATCCAAAAGCGAGGCAACAATTTTTAATTGAAGCTGCATGCCAGTGTCAGGAGGCTGGGATGTATGATAAAGTAATTTCCTTCTTTCTTATATTCCGTTTTATTCTGGGAAAAACATGGGAAAAGAAAGAAAATCTTCATCTGCTGTTACCCAATTAGAATTTGACCTGGCTGATAGGCATTGTCTTACACACCCTAAACAGTTCCTTGAGATACTTGGTGGCGAAGCACTTCAATCTGGTTTTTAGACCTTACTTTTTGTTTTGGCCTGTCAGACTTCCTTTATCCGGTGAAGCTAAATCTATTTTTAATACATTCAGTAGTTTTGTTCACTCGTATTTATTTTCAATACTTAATATCTTTGATTACATTTAATTATTATTCACATTCATATGTTTATCATTTTGTGTGTCTTTATTCCCTTGATTTATCTTACCAATGTTGTTATCCATTGTTCTTTTTCCTTCATTTTTTTTTCATTACCTCTCTTTTCCTCTTGTTACTCATCTTCTTTTGTGGATCACTGGATTTTCATCTAACCTTAACTTTTGCTGATACTGGATTTTATTTATTTATTTTTTTGGTTCAGTCTATAGAAATTCAGAAGAGGGTGGGTTCCTTCTCAATGGCCCTTGATACCATCAATAAGTGCCTTTCTGAAGCTATTTGTGCCCTTTTCCGTGGAAGATTAGATGGTGAGAGCCGGACTTCTGGTCTCATCCATTCTGGCAATGAGATTTTGGAGACGTACAGTTATTACCCAGAAGTCAGGTCATATTGAAACTCTTACCTTATTTCCTTGTTTCATTTGTGGCTATGCTTGGCTTTGGGACAGTGATATTCTTTTTTGCTTAATCTTTCATATATGAAGCTTTTAAGGTAAAAGCTTTATAAACCCCAGAGGCTTCTTTAGAACTTATTTCATGGTGATTTCACCCAAAATATGATTTGATCCTCACATTCATCTTTTTCCTTACACTTATCTTTTATCATGGAGTGATCTTGGAGATCAAAAGTCTGCTTCTGCATAACTGAGAAGTCCATCTTTTCCATATACTTCATGAGGCCAATAGTGCTTCTTTCCTTGCAAGAGCAAGTGCTGCAGGGATGATAGTCTGGTGATTTGGGATGTACCACCGGCAGGATTGGGTCATCTTTTTACTGATTCCGTGGGTGTAGACTTGTAGTATACTAGTATTTGTATTTTGTTAGGTGTTAGTTTTATTTTTTTTTCCTTTTTCTGTCCCCCCCCCCCCCCCCACCACACACCACAAAAAAAAGGATAATACGTATGCAATTTTTAATTTTTTATAAAATTTCATGGCTTTGGAAGTGATTTTATTTTCCTTCCATTTGCAACTATTCTTATATTTAGTCAAGATATTTCCTTAAAGAGTGCTATGGTTATTGACAAATTATGAGCCTTCCTTGTGTGGGAGTTTAAGATGTAAGACTTGGAAATACCAATGCTGCGTGACTATCGCTTGAGTTGCTGCTACTCAATAATTTTAGGAGTTCAAGATCTTTCATCCGAATGAATTGGAGACCCCAGTAATTTGGGTTTTGACTCTTCAAACAGGATTGCTATGGCTATGCTCAATGCATTCAACTATGAAAAATTTATTGTTACTCATTCTACGTAACATATCTGCATTTCATCCCTTAGTAAAATGATTGATTGAATTTCTTTTGCAGTCTTCAAGAGAGAGAGCATGTTTTTGAGCAGCAAACTGTGTTAAGACAACTTGAGTCAATACTGTCAATTCACAAATTGGCAAGACTGGGGCATCATGTTGATGCATTAAGAGAGGTTGCCAAACTTCCATTTCTTCCTCTGGATCCCCGAGGCCCTGATATTGCTGTTGATGTGTTTGAAAATTTATCTCCTCATGTCCAAGCTTGTATTCCAGATCTTTTGAAGGTTGCTCTCACTAGTCTGGACAATGTGACAGACTCTGATGGTTCACTTCGTGCCTTAAGGGCTAAGGTATTATCTTGTAGATCCCCTTGTTTGGTTGGGTTATGTCCATGCTTTAGTTGCTTTTGTCGGAGTGCCATAATTCACTTTAGTATTTTTCAAAAGTGAAGTGTTGGAGCACTCACAGAAGTAATACGTTTATGCCTTCCATATAGTATGGTAAACTTTTTGGTCAAGTTGAAAATATATCCCCTATCCTGAAGCTTTCCTTGGAGTTTGTCTAAATCTGTTAATGAAAATCTATGTTCATTATTTTATGTGATAACTACGTTTAATACCTAGGGGAGGGATTTTGGGATTTTTTTGACTCTGGTGTAAGAATAAGAAGTCTTACTCCTCGTCTCAACTGTCGATTTCTGTGCATATGACGATTATATCGTAAGCACTAATATCCATTTTGCTGTAGTTAATACTCATTTATTCTGTTTTGTTTCTTCTGTATAAAATATATAGCACAGATCATAAATACTAAATCAATTCTATACTAGTACTAGAAAAGAAAGGAAAAAGGCAAAGGGAAAATTTGGTTTATTTTGTACAAAATCTGTTGCCTTTACCTTAAAAAAAAGAAAAGATTATGAAATTTTCTGAAGAACAATACCTCAGATTATAATCAGTGGGAAATAAATTCAATCAAGCCATCTGTTGGTAATTTTTAATTTACATTGTTATCAAAATATTCATTTATCCACTTCTTGACAGAGGAGGGTAAATGATAGTTCGGGAATGGTTACCCTAGACCAGCAATTTATGGAGTTTCCTTGTCAGCGTTAAAGCCTTTTAATCAAGGGGAATGCATTTGTCATGTTACATGACAAATGAATAGTTGTGATGTTAAGAAAAAGACAAGATAAATTCATTGAATAATGTGTCCTCTCATTTTTTTAATATTATATAATTTGTCTTTTTCTTAACATAACAACTATTCATTTGTCATGTAACATGATAAATGCATTTCCCTTTAATCAATCATCTTTGTCGTAGTTTTAAAATAATACTTTTAGTTGATTATGTCAAGCATTGGGTAGGTTATCACGTATACAGTTACATTTGGTGTCTGAATGGGATGGTTAAAGTGCTATTTTGATATTTGATTTATTAATGTGCTTCTCTTTCATAATTGCTAAATCTACTTGTTTTGCAGATTGCGAGTTTTATTGCAAATAATGTAAAGAGGAATTGGCCTCGTGATTTATATGAAAGAGTTGCGCAGAGGTTGTGAAAGTAAATATATGATGGGAATTGTAGTTGCATTTGAATTCTTGAAAGGCAATAGGTGTTTGGACGAAGGTGTTCAGTTGTGTGACACTTCTAAAGTAGTCTCAATGGCCTGTTTGCTGGACCTATGCCCTGGAGATATGATGCGAGGAACTAGTACACTGGTTATGAATTTTCTCGTCCCCTTTTCTTTTGTTTTTGCGGTTGGTAATGTGCTGTTCATAGTTTTGTTTAGCAATAACATTACTTTCAACCACTCTCTTTATTTTTGCTAAGTGCTAAAAGAAAAGAAAAATATTGAGCAATTAGCACGCTGTTCTTTTGCACTTTTATTTTTATTTATTTGTTATTTTGTTGGGAGTAACGTGTACCAATGTCTCCAATACTATAGTAAAATTAGAATGACACGTATACGTTTGAATTAGCTTCTCGTGCGTTTACAAAGCTTATGATCAAAATTTTACTAGAGAGCTATTAAAAAGGAAGTGATTCCTTTTTTTTGAAAAAAAAATTAATCAAAATCAAATTGCATTCAGTAGGCGTTGCAAACAGCATAACCTTTTTCGTTTTGCAAGCATTTTGCTTATATTATGAGGTTAAATTTTGATTTTAAAGATTATTATAACTAATTTTTTTTTGCCAGAATTACCTACACGTGGAAGCATGCTAGCTGGTGGACTTAAGTTTTTAGATGCTGGAAGCCTGGTAATTTCTGGTTGACTAAGTTTTAAGATACTGACCTCATACCGTTTATTAATAATTATGCCACTTGAAGGGGATTAACGTGGCATTTTAACAGAGGCAAGTTTTAAATTAAAACCCAAGCCACAGCCGTACACATAATGTCACTATCCATGTTCCATACCCGTCGGTAACTCAATAGTCAATGTATGAAACCCAGAATTCATAAATAACCAGAAACCTTAAAATGAGGCCGAATGCCAATTATATTAAGACTAAAGTGCTTTTTATTGATACGCGTGTTTAGATATAATTTTTGAAAAAAATAAAAGTTAAAATAATTTTAAATAGTATTTTTTTTTGGAAACTACAATTTTTATCTTTTAAAAAAGTCAAAATACTATTTTTTACTTAAAAAATTTGATATAAAAAATTAGCAACAATTTGGTATCATTGTTCCTAACCTTTTAATTAGCAAGAATTGCTAATCCTATAAGTATTATATGTTAGGGGTAAATTAAAACCTACTGAAAACTCCCACATCAGAAAATTACAGATTAGTTGAATCTCACTATATTTTATTTTTTTGGTTCAAAACTCTTACTAATTAAATCATAAGAAAAATAAAGAGATGAGCTAAATTTTATGGATCACAAGGAAAAAATATAGATCTCGAAAACATTATATTTATATTATCAGCTAAGTTATTTAATAATTAATAAAAAAATATTTGTAAATAATAAAATAAAAATATAATATAACATCGGTATAATTACTAATAAAAACAAAAACAAAAAAACAAAAAGAAAAATATCTTCACTATCCAAAGGCGGGAGCAACATTTTCTTGGCGGGAAAATCCTTTTCTTTGTATTTCGTAACGGTGCCTCCATCTTTGTGCTCAGTTTTAATTACTGTGTACTTCTCTCTCTGTTCCTTTTGTTTGTGTTAGGGTTCAGGATTTTACGGGTTCTCCTTGATTTTCGATCTGTGTTTACATAGCATTAACAATCTCCATTCTATTTCCAAAGCTATCTGTCGTTCTGAACTCGTCACCGTAATCCCTTGGGTGAAATTCGTCATCTGTTTTAAGATTCGCAACATGTATGGGAGAAAAGCTTGCCAACTTGTGAAAGAATTTGCAAGCGGAGAAAAGGGCCAGCTCTCGCCATTCAATGTAAGCCCGGGTCTTCATGTCTCATTTGGACATTTATATATATATATATATATATATATATATATATATATTCAATTGTTGAGTTAAGTTAGAAACTCTTTGTATCGTGGAAAATAATTTACTTGATTATTATGTTATTGTAAACCCTATTTTTGCCATGTAAATTTCCATCTAGGGATTTCTTGCCGATGTTGCATAATGTGGTTTTATTCTGATGCTTGGTGATAACAATATGTGTTACGAGAATCAGACACTGTAACCTCACTGAGAATGCTTGAAATCATGTTTGGATCTTGTCTCCTGTGATTTTTACTATTTGGCTTCGGATTTAAATGCTGCATTTAATCGTTTACCACTTTAAAGGTGTTCTGTGTTTGCAAGTATATTTCAACTCTTGAATATAGCTCTCTGCTTTATGCCAAACACTAAAAGTCGCATTAGATGAGAATTTGAAAATGTTTGCGTGGTTAACACCACTTTGAGATTTGAGTCAGGATTTTTGGGTATTATGACTCATACTTCGCATTCAGACGAGAACTCTTGTTGGCGGGGTTAGCAGAAAGCCAATTGGGGCCCCTCTCTGACTTATTGTAATTTTCTTTAGGGTTTATATAGTACAAACAAGTTGAACGTAGCCTACATTGAGTGAACCAGGTTAAATCGGTGTTTCAAATCTCTCTTCCTTTTCTCTTTATTGTTTTCAATTTATGTGTCGATTTCCAACAAGGATTTGTTTGCCTCTTTAATATCAACTTTCTCTCTTAATTGCATTAACTGCTTGTCTTTTTAGGTCCCTCTGTTCCTGTTTAGATTTCTCACGCACATCTCCCGTTTTCGTAGATCTCCCCACTCCAAAGGGGAAAAAAACAAAAGAGAAGAAAAATCTTTACAAATTGCCACGATAACAGTATGAACTTGTTTTGATGCATCATGATTTATGATGTTTTAGTTTATAACATCACTGTCCTGGGATTGTTAAGTATTTATGATATTTCTTTTTGTTATCTCATTTCCCTTTATTCTTATGTTTATCTATTATAGACTTTTTTGCATGCCCTGATTAGAAACTCATTATCCACTCTTTATATTGTTCTGAATATGTGTTTGCTTTGGCTTGATACTTTTTCCAATAATCTTGTAGAGTGACTTGTTTGAACAAGTAGTTGCAGAATGCAGTCAACATCATCTTGAGCTTCAGTCCTTGATAAGGTAACGTTAATATGGTGTCCTGCTTCTTTTCCCCGAGTATGTCCCTTTTCTTCATTAGAGTATGCTATATCATATGGGCATGTGTTTTTTTTGAATGTGTGCTTGTGCATATTGAGAAGAGGTGCTAAGGTGACTTGCATATTTTTCCCTGAGCATCCCTTTCATTGTGGTATGGTATGTCCTATGTGCGTGAGTTTTGTGTCGTGTAAACAGGAAGATACAGGAAGAAGGTTTGGATGTCCAAACGGCTAGAAATGCAGATCACCATGGAGCCCTCATCCACCATCTTTCTTTAGTCCGAAATAAACGTTGCCTTATGGCCTATGTGTAAGTATATCTTTAAAATGCTATTTACCGTCAAACATAGCTCGTGTTTTGTTATTATATTCTGTTACTTATCTATATGCAGGTATAATCGAGCAGAAATCATACGCAGCTTGTTATGGAAGGTAGGACATGTGCTTCCTCAAGAAATTGAAGAGAAGCTTAGTCATTCGGAGGAAGAGTATTTCAAGAAGCACTCTGCAGCATTGAAATCTTATATGTCAAAATTGCTAGTTGATCTGACTGTGGTAACCTCTCCTTTCCATCCTTTTTCTCTGAGACATGTGCTGCCACTTAATTGTGGCAAGGATCTTGCACTACTGGCATTAAGCAATTGCATGGTTGCATCCTGTCTTTATCTTCTAGATAGTTGAACAGTTCTAGTGATGTTGATGCAATTAAGGAATTTTAGGCAATGACTACCATGCATATGCTTGTGTTGATGCTCCTTAAGTTCTGTTGCTATAGCCAGATTGAATACACATCAATTAATAAGGGAAATTTATTATAGTAATCTTGGGGAATGAGAAACATGCATCTCATGAGAAAATTACCAGACTTTGTTGTTTGGGATCCTTGATGTGCATTTGTTTTTGGTATTAGTTATTGGATAGCTGGTGAGAACAACAAGCTGAGGTTGGGAACAATGTTTGAGTTATATAGCATTATTTTGTAGTTTTCGAAAGTAGAATGAACTTGTAACGTGACAATAAATCACTGTATTGTCATTGATATAATCTGCATTTGGTAGGATATGGTACCGCCAAAAGATCCTTACATCCAAGTAAGGGTCCTGGATGATATAGGAGAAGGCATTGTGCTTAGTGATGATAAGACTGCCAATTTTTCCCGCCATTCAATGCACTTTCTGAAGCGAACTGATGCGGAGCAATTCATCGCACGGGTTAAGTTGCCTTGTAGCTTAAAATTTATATAGCAAAATAGTCTGAAATGCGAGCTAATTTATCTTTTTTATCAATATTAACAGGGCTTAATGGAGGAGCTTATAGGTTGACCTGCTTGGCTTTTACCTGGAAGAAATCTAGATGAGAATACTATTGGTGAACTTGATACTAATTATGTTAAATTATTTTTCATATATGTTAATGACATTACCCATGTTGCTTCAAGAGCAAGAACTCTGTGTATGCTATATAATGGCTTTCGATATAGATTTTACATTTAGTAGCAAAGATAAAAGGGAGGGAAAGGTAAGAGAGAAGCTTTAGGCCTTCAGGGAGGTTCGCAGACCAAAGATCTGATATCTGTAATTGAGATTTACCCTTATTTCAATACCTCGTTCCTATTAATTGGTATCAAAACTCCCGACTTGGGAAACTGTGGGTGCTTGATTCAAAAATGACAAAGATGGAGAAGCAGTGGGAAGTCAAACTTGAAGAAATGCGGACGACATTTGTGGATTTTAGGAAGGAATATTGGGAATGACGTATGGGGATTCCTGTATTTGAAGGAGATAGTGCATATGGATGGCCAATCTGCCACATATACTCTGAAGCATGGAAACAAAATATCCTTTTGTGAATCCAGAACTGTAAATCCTACAGCAGGGTTAGTCCTTAAAAGCTTCAACCGAGGAAGGTATCTAAACTGCCTCGTAAATAGTTTGCATATAGCCAGTTCAAGCATTGTAGAACTGGCGACCCTGAACAGGAGGCTCGATCGTAGCAACTGCGTGAATTGGGACTGATTGGTACTCGAGGGAGAGTTAATGCCAATTGTCCCTGACTGGATTCTGAGCATAGCAGCATCACCTGTGGTTTCGAACTGGCACGGCCAAAAACCATGTCGGTTGAGACTACGGGGAAGGCCTTGTTGGGTTCAAATGATAAGTCTTGGTATGTGCATGCCACCAATTCCTGCAATTCAATCTAGCTCCGGCTATGCAATCCAGGGACATATACGAGAAGATGTTGGCAAAGAGATCAAAGGTAAGGTTACTCCACATAGTTGAAATGATAGTTTTTTGTTTGAGGATGGCTGATATTTATCATATATACTTAGCTCCAGTAGAATATACCAAAATTGGTCACTGCGATTATAAGATGTGTATCATAGCATGGGGATGTGTGACTTACATGTGAGATGGCACTATGTTTTATTATCTAGGACCACACGTGATGCGGTGCAATGTCATCGGCCACCCATATACGAGCTTGTTCTTTAGCGGGGTTTCTGCTACGTGTGCCTGGCCAGATAATACTAATACTATACTTCTTGAAGCTTTGGAAGCATCCAAAGCTGAAATGATGCATACACTAGCTTGCAAGGTTTTGCATATCCTCTCCTCCAGCATAATATTATGCCTGAAGGGTTAAATTATTTTAAACAGATTAGTCTCCTAGCACTTAAAAGCCTTGAGTTTTGAATAACTTGAGATCCAACATTTTAAACTAAATATAGGTTTAAAATGTATTGAACTTTATCTAGTTTTGATGATAACAAACAAATGAGGCCAAATTATCTAATAATTTGTTTAGTTTTTGAAAGGTTATTATATGGTTTGATTTGTGATGAATTCTGAAGACGATATAATTGTCATGAAATTGTGAAAATCAAAGCTGCAAGATAAAATCTTAAATTTCATGCAATAATTAAATGAGGTGAATTCTAATCATGCCTTGGGTTAGATTATCTTAAAGTTTTAGAAATTGAGGAAGATAGGAAATGTATTTTTAATCTAAAAATCTTGAAAAGAAAAAGTTAATTTGAAATTAAATTTCTTTTTGAAAGATTTGATTCTATTTAATTTAATTTGGGAAGTTAATCTTTGAAAAATTAATTTGAACATTGATTCTATTTTTAATACAGAAATTTTGAAAAGTTTTTAAAAAAAAAAAATCATGATAACATATTTTGTGCATAAAATTTAGAGATTTTTCCATAATAATTGATTTTGAAAAAAGTCTATAAATATTATACTTTGAATCCTTGTTCAAAGTGTGGATGAACATTCAAGAGAAAGAGTGCATTTCATATATTATAAGTATTTCTTTTTAAGACACATCCAAAATAATTTGGCAACCAAGACATGGGCAGATTCATTGAATCTATCATTTAGGTTTGATTTGTACTTATTTACTTATTGATTAAAAGCATGTAAGGTAACTCTTAATTTTTTTTTTTTTTTTTTTTAGCTATTGCCGAAGTAGGCAATTGAGGAGCAATTATATAGTGATAATTAGGGTTTCATCTTATTTGGTTTAGAGTTAAGTTGAAAGTGTTTGTGAAGCCTGACAATTGGGGTGCAATTTACGAGGGTAGATTGAGTTACCTAAATCTAGAGTATAAGGTTTGGGTAAATTCTTGTATAAGGGTAAAATAAGTTCTATTCTTGTACTTTGAATTAAACGTGACTCACTATAGTAGATTTGTCTCCCAATTGAATAAAAGGTATCGAGATTGGGGTCGTGAATATTTTTCTCCCGTTAGAGTTTTTCCCACTTAATTACTTGTGTTTTCTCTTTATTTTTTTTGTTATTGGTCAAATTTATTATTGATAAATTAACCATTAATTTAAATTCATTAAGTTTAGATAACTCAATGCACCTTCCCTCTTTACTTCATCGGGGACCAACAGACGTAGTTCATTTAATGAATAAGCTAAGTTAGGTCAAACATAATGCAGTTCGGGCTCTCCAATTTAGGGTCTATCGGTATTTTTACTCATAATTATAATAGTAATGGATACATAATTGTCATAGTAATACTAAAAACCCTTACAAAAATTGGAGCCATACCAAAGAGCAGGAGGAAAGTTAAGGTTGACGTGAACCGTAACAGGTCCGTCCAAATTAGAGCCATATACAGTTACTGAGTCTGGTATCCAACCATCGTCTCCAATCCTGTATAGTAACACATAGCAGATTGGTTGTGTACATGGTCCGTTTAACTCAAACTTATTCGTAGAACACTTCTCGAATATCCCTGAAGAAGGATCATCCAGTCTTGGAACATCAATCTGATCCATTATCCAACCAAGATTTTATTTAGCAGCAAAGAGAGAGATCTATATATATATATAGGGATATGATCTGTTTACAAACTTTTTTTTGCAAATTACACTAAGTACGACCGGTCGTACACTGCATGATTAAAGTATGACCGGTCGTACTTAGTGTAGTTTGTAAGAATTTGTAAACAAAAAAGTTTGTAAATATAAGCTCCCCATATATATATATATGGATAAAGATGTCTTCATAGTACAGAACAGAAGGAACCTGAGTGCCATCAGCGTCGCCAAATGCAAGACTGATTTGATCTCTCATAGGCGAGGGAGAAAGGCAGCTTGTCTTTATGATGACCCAAAAAATACACACACCAAACTTTTTCTGCAACATGCATGCATATATACAAATGTATAGCCTTTAATTTCAGATGCAAGAAGATATTAGATATGTAAATGCTTCACTTGAAATCAGGGTCTCTAATCTATGTTCTCTTAGTGGTAGCAATTAGTTCACATAAATAAGGGTGGAATGAAGCCATTTATCCTATTAGTTACGTGAGCCGTTCCATAATATTGTGGTTAAGATTCAGTGTAACAATTTTTATTCCTGATTCTACCTATAATAAGTAAACTTTGTCACTAATGGAAAGCTACTATGTTACTGTACATAAATTCTAATATATTGAATTGAAGTGTATTCCTCTATTTTTGGGATGTTTCAAAAAGCAAAGAGACGAGCATATAAAATTTTCTTACCTGCAGCTGGGTGTTGTTCAGTTTGAGAGATTCGTTCACTTTATGCTGAGTGGCTATTAATGTTGCTTGGGAAAAGGTAGCGATGATGCAAAATGTGAGGATGAAAGCCTTAGCTTTCATGGTTTTGTCCATGACTTACAACCCTTTGCTTCAAGTGAGTGACTATTAACGTTGCTTCAAGAGAGAACTAGGATGAAAGCCTTAGATTGCAGGGTTTTTTTTTTCTAGCAAGGACATGGGTACATCCCTCTTAAACTACATTACTATGTATCAGTAAAATAATCAATTACGAATTAATTAAGAAAAAAAATTTAATATTAAAATATTTGGGATAAATAGATTCTCTATGCTAAGCTCTTTAACCAGAAGTGTCGTTTATGTTTGGATACTTTTTTTTTTAATTTTGATATTTATATTAATCTTAATACAAAATAAGTTAATCCAAATACTTTTATTTATTTTTTATATTTTTAACCAGACATGTCTCATGTTTTTGTTTGGATAATTTTTGTTTTTATTTTTAAAATTTTGACATAATATTAATTTGAATCCAGCTTAAGTTAATTCAAATACTTTTATTTACTTAAACATTTTAATTAACTTTTGATTATTAGCCACATGGAATGGAAGGCTAAACAAAAACCAATTACGGGAATTTACATAAAAAATAAATAAATTCTGGAACAGATTATAAGTAAATGTAACGGTTTATTGGATTCAAGCTGCAATTTTCCTCAATTATAAACCAACAACTAAAACCAGTTTACTTGGGTTCATTAAAAGTGGAGTATAAACATTGAAAAGAAGTTGGTGAATATTAATTTTAAGTAAACTTATTTTTAAAGTGATCAAGTAAAAATGTATCCGCCCTTAATTTAATTTAAAATATATTGCTATCTTAATTAACTAATTTTAGTCGTATAACTCAAATCGCTTATTGTTTTTTTAAATGATATTCTATTTTAAGATATTAAAATGAATACAATTTTATAAAAAAAGAATATCATTTAACTGGTAATTGATCAAAACTAATTTCAAATTCTTATCAAAATAAACAAATTATTGTGTGTGTGTGTGTGTGAATCGGTTAAATTTGTAAATGAAACGTAATAATATTTAAACTAGAGATTAAATCGATTCAGCCGGCTAGGTCGGTTGAATTTTTAAAACGGTGATATCTTTTAAACAAGTCTCCATGCAATGTCATGGAAAGTAACGAAGAAAAAAAAGGTGTACATCTTTCGAATCTTTAATGGCTTCACGGAAGAACCAAAGATTAATGTGGAATGTAATCCCTTTGTTGTGCTGAAAGATCATTGACTTATTACTTGTAAACGTAGCAAAATCATCAAATGAAAATGATTCTTTGCTCGTCGGTCGAATTAAAT